GTGCATGTATGCATTATTTCGGGTTTTTCATATGCATTATTTCGGTTTTTAACCGAAACTGTGCATATGTGCATTATTTCGGTTTTTTTCATATGCATTATTTCGGTTTTCAAACGAAAGAGTGCATATGCATAATTTTGGTTTTCCTAATATGCATTATTGCGGTTTTCAACCGAAACTGTGCATATATGCATCATTTCGGTTTTTTTCATATGCATTATTTCGGTTTTCAACCGAAACTGTGCATATATGCATTATTTCGGTTTTTTCATATGCATTATTTTTTATGCACAGTTTCCATATGCACAATTTCAGGGTGCCGGGTTAGAAATATGCCCTTTTTTGTAAAATTCGGAAATTAGCGTACATTTATCACTCCTATTTTCCTTAAAGCAGCCACTTCACAAATATATTTTTATATTCTCCTTCACTTTGCACTTTTCTCGATGAGTTATAACTTTCTTTATGACTTTAATATTAACCAATTAATCACAATTTATTAAATAAAAACACCTTCAAAATCATGCGTCTGTATTTGGTTGCATATGCAAATTAAATGGAGGAGTTCAGCTGTCAAACTCCAAAATATGCAAAAGAATGAGAGACAAAAGAAGATAAGATATGCACAAAGGTGTTCTCTGCAAAAGGTGTTCAGCTCCTTTTCTTCGCAAAACAGAAAGAGAACTCTACTTTGTGAGGGTTATAATCCCTAAGTGCGGCCGAAGGCCGCCTACGCTGAAAGGTGTTCTCTGCGAAAGGTGTTCAGCCCCCCTTCTTTCGCCTGATAACCACCTTGGGATAATTTCTTTTTTTTTAAAAGCCCCACAGATTCTGTTAGTTGGGTTATATTCCACTTCAAACTGCTCAATTTCCCTCGTTAAATGCTGTTTTCACCCATTGTCAAACGGTTCCCTAGGGGTCTGTGGGAGGCCCCGAAGGGGGGTGCGACTTTTCGTAAAGTGGGGGCTGTCCCCTTTCGAATGGGGGGTTTAGGGGGCCACGCCACCGCCCCCTACCCCAAAACGACTTGCAAATAACTAAACATTTCCCGACTACTTGCTTTACTTACTTACTTACTACCTTTTCACAAAAGGGGATACAATTGTTACCCGCTTCTCTTTCCTTCTCAAATGCAACCTTACAAGGCAGGCGATTGACACAAAAGTCAATATTTATCCAACCTTGTATTATTGAATCATGGCCATGATCATGTTTGTACTGTTGTAGAAAAAATCTAAAAAGTCTAAATTTGTTTTGCCGTCTAATTGATATATATGTTGTTGCTTCATGATAAAATTTATTATCTTAGCTTAATTGGACTACTTTGGTGCCGAAAAATTGGAGCAAGCCTATTGTTGTCCGAAGCCCAGATTATCTAAAAGCTCTTGAAGAACTATTTGCAAAATATTCATCACGCGTCGCTCACAACTCAATTATTGTACTGTTTACGCTTGCAATATTACCACAAGACTATCCAAATCCAACGGTATGCACGCGGGCTACAATGTGGGCGCTACCTGATATAACATCAGTACTTTTTATTGCTCATCATTCAAAGAACGATCTGGAAAAAATTATAAAAAGGGTAAGAAAATCTACATATGAGTGAACGCAATTTGTTTTATTTTTAACTGCAATTTCTTATTATAGACAGATCTTATTTTTAAGTCACTTAAAGCTTACTTGAAGCGAGCACCATCACTTAAAGGAGCTGCTTTAGTTAAACTTTCATCACTGCGAATTCAATCAGAACTTTGGAGAGGTTTCACGAATATTACAACTGCAGCAAAGCGTCTAGAGTCTATGGATATAACATCTGACAATTGGTTCGAAAATATGTTGAAAATATTTGGGAGGAATAGAGTGGACCCTGAATTTATGAGTATGGACGCAAATTCACACGATGCGTAAGTACAAAATACCATAATATGATAAATCTATATATAAGAAAATCTAGAAAACAGGTACACTCCTATGGTGCCTATATGATTTTATTCGTAATCTCTTAAATAAATATTAGTGTTATTCATTTTTATCAAATGCTTCAAAGGAATAAACATTTAGATCGCTCAAATAGAATAGGTTCATATTAACCTGTGCAAGTTGTAAATTTGAACAAAGAATTTGATAGTTTTTTTATATTGTTCGGTATAATACCAGAACCAATGATACCGCAAAAAATTGGAGGGTCGCCACCTATTTGAAAATTTTTAAACCCAATTGTATGTATAAAATAAGTGAATAATAACAATATGGGTATCAAATTAAAGAGGCTTAAGAAATATAACTGCTGGAAATATCTTTGAGGAGGGTTGCCACCTATTTGAAAATTTTAACTCAGTCAAATTGATAAAATAAATGAAATATTGCCATGTGGGTGCCAAACTAAAGAGTTTGAAGAAGGCTTACAGTCGAAAATATGTTTGAAGAGGGTTGCCACCTGTTTGAAAATTTAACTAAAGTACATCGATAAAATAAATGAAATATTACAATATGGGTATCAAATTAAATAGGTTTAAGAAAAATATCGTTGGAAACATTTGTGAGAAGGGTTGCCACCAATTCTAAATTTTAACTCAGTTAAACTGATAAATTAAACGAAATATTGCTATGTGGGTATCAAACTAAAGAGTTTTAAGAAGGTTGCCACCTGTTAAAAAATTTAGCGTAATTTAATTTATAAACTAAATGATATATCACAATATAGATATTAAATTTAAGAGGGTTAAAAAAGATAACTGCTGGAAAACTTTTTGAGTAAAATTGCCACATATTTGAAAATTTAAACTTAGTTATTTTGATAAAATAAATGAAATACGGAATTTGGGTATCAAACTTTAAATTTTTAAGAAGGCTTACAGCTGAAAATATGTTTGAGGAGGGTTGCCACCTGTTTTGAAAATTTAACTCAATTTAATTTAATTAGGTATCAAATTAAAGTGGTTTAAGAAAGAAGACTTTTGGAAATACTTTTGATGAGGGTTTCCACCTATTTGAAAATTTTAACTCAGTCAAATTGATTAAAAAAATGAAATATTGCAATGTGGATATCAAACTAAAGAGTTTTTAAAAGACCTACAGTATAAAATATGTTTGAGGAGGCTTGCCACCTGTTTGAAAATTTAACTCAATTTGCATAATTGATAAAATAAATGACTCATTAAAATATAGGTATTATATTAAGGATGTTTAAGATAGATAACTGTTGGAAATATGTTTGAGAGTTGCCACCTTTTTGTAAATTTGAACTCGAAAGCTTAGTATGTTGCACCAATGTATTTTCAATATAAAGCGATAAAATAAACCAACGAAAAATTAGTCCTTTGTGAAATATGTTGATTTATTATCATTTATGTAGGGATATGTACAAATTTTAAGCGGATACGGACGATGGGTGGTGGCTGACGGTCGTTCCTAATTGAACACGGGAAAATAAGTGCCCGCGCTCTTTTCAATAGAATTGAGTTCAACCTCAAAGCAGTAAAACTGTTTGGAGGGGAAGTTAAAAGATAATTAATTTGGCGGGGACAATGTCTGACAGTTTCTAATAAATACATGTGTACATGTGTACATATGGATATTATTAAGCATTAAGGTGGACCGTCTTGGTTTGATTAAATAAATGAAATTTGCAAAGAAGACTTACAATCGAAAACATGTTTGAGGTACAATATTGGTGTCAAACGAAAGGTATTTGAAAAATCTTGATTTGGAAATGTTTTTTATAGGATTATCACCTATCTAAAAGTAAAGACTGAAAATATTGAAATTAAATGAAATATTACATAACTGGTTCCAAACGAAAATTGTTTGGGAAAGCTTTACTAGGGAATTTTTTAAATCTTTCCACTTATCCAAAATCCGAATAGTTTAAATAAATATAGAATTTACATCATCTTATCAAACGAAGTGCTCATATTATCAACGAGGAGTTGGCACACAAATTACTTAATGTAAAAAATTAATAAACAAGTAATTTTTAAGCAAAAAACACACCGACTCCAATTCTCACATACAAATTTAATGGTACCGTTAATTTTTTCATGATCCAGTGATCGGATCTAAACCAAATTAGTATGGGATCACTTCGAAATCGGTTGACCTGGTCCAAAGTTATGCGGTAACATACATAAAAAAAAATGTATATAACCTTCTCCTTTGTTTTGAAGTCGGCTAAAAACTACTGAAACAAATAAAAAATTATAAAAGAGTAACGAAAACAAATAACTTTGGTTTGAAAGCTGTTTAAAAAATACTTAATGAAAACTTAAAATTGTTGACATCATGCCCTAGCATTGTAAATCAGTTAACTTTTATTCGTAAACATTATGATTATCATTACTATTATGAACTCCTTTTCCCGATCAAGGATTCCCAAATTACGATCGCATGATGCAAATGTTAAGATCATAAGAGCTGCAGAACTGAACCATGCAGGAACATTTTTTTACAAGGGCGTGTAATATCTGGCGTGTGCCTATGACATCGACATCAGCGGTAACAAAAATCGCGAAGTGTCTTCTGCCTTTTCCAAGCTGGTAAACGAGGACAAGACGAAGTATCTCCTGTCATAAAAAAAAAGTCAGCGCATTCGCGCCTTCGAACCCACGTCACTGTTGACAGTAATAATTTCGGGAAAGTGGAGAATTTCGTTTACTAGGGAACCAGCATTATCACCGATAAAAATATCAGCATGGAAAACCCACGCAGAATCACTCTTGCCAACAAGTGCAACTTTGGACTGAGTAGGCAATTCGGGAGTAAAGTCTTTTCTCGACGTACAAAAACCGCACTCTATAAGTCACTCACCATGCCCGAGCTGTTATGGCGCAGAATCTTAGACAATGACAACATCCGATGAGACGGCTCTTGGAGTGTTCGAGAGAAAGATCTTACGGAAGTTTCACAGGCTTCTACGCGTGAGCGACGGGGATTACCGATGTAACGATGTAACAATGAGTTGTGTGAGATTTACAACGAAATGTACATAATGCAGGGAATGAAAATGCAGCGGCTCCGCTGGCTTAGACATTGTCGTTCCAATAGAACCCGAAGTTCCAGGTGTGAATGAAATCAACTCGTAGTCCACTGGTGTTAGCAGAGGAATAGGGGCTACCTATTACAATGGAATGGAGAGGCCAAGTTGGCACAGAGAGGAATGACTGGCCAAAATGGCTTAGGCGGTTACAAAGCCAAAGTAAAAGAAGAATATGCAAATGATAAATGACGGAGTTGGAGGACCATCTTCTTGGATGCGCCAGGAGGAACTAGGAAAATATTCCTTATCAGATGGATTCTGGCAACGGATCGATCAAAAAATTACATTACCTTAGCTATCGCTTCGTCTGGAATCGCTGCGGCATTGTTACCAGGTGGAAGCATTGCCAATTCAGCTCTTGAGCTGCCATTGAACATATAAAACATCGAAACTCCCACGTGCAATATTTCCAGAGCATACGGTATGGAAAATGTATTACAAAAATTTAAACTCATTGTTTGGGATGAGTGCACCATGGCACATAAAAAATCGCTTGAGGTTCTTGATCGATTGTTGCGAGATTTGCGTGGAAACGTTCAACCATTCGGGAATGCATTGATATTGCTCGCAAGAGATTTTACGCAAACATTGTCTGTAGTTTCTCGATTAAAAGAAGAAAATTAATTATAGAAATCACGATTGGCCCAGTGAACGGGCTATTCTTGCTGCGAAGAATTAGGATGTCTATCAACTAAATAATAGTGGTATTGACAACAGTCATTGCTTGAACGGATCTGCTCTTTTACCAGACTGCCAGACCACTTGCTTACTTTGGTGAATACCACTAATGTTATTCAATCCAGCATTCAACGTGAGGAAATAGTATATACGTGGATAAATACCATTGTGGAAAAAGACGATCCAACCGAACTTTTTAACTCGATTGATCTTCCAGGGAGACCGCACACACTGAAATTGAAAATAGGTGTGACAATTATCATTTTGCGGAATATTAATCAGCCAAAACTTTGGCAACGGCACGCGACTCGCATTTATTAAATTGATGAAGAAAGTAGTGTAAGTAAAGATTTTAAGGTGACCTTTTAAAGGTGAAGAGTTCCCATGATTCCTAGTGATACACCATTTTAATTTAAAAGATTGCAATTTCCAATTCGATTGACATTCGGAATCACAATCAATAATGCTCCAGGTCGAACTTTGGAAAAGTATGGTTTAGATTTATATGCGGATTGCTTCTCAGATGTTGCGTGTTCCTGTGTCGGCAAACCAGATATCCTTGATATCTATGTAGAGAATGGAAAAACAATAAATATTGTGTGCACCCAAGTACTTATTACATAACCAAACACATATGAAACGTATGCTTTGTTTCGTTAATAATTTATTATCTAACGCAAAACCCCGTATCTGAGTACTCTGTTGTATGGGAGCTATATGTAAGCTGAACATATTTCGGTGATTTTACTAACTTCAAAACTGAGGAAATTTAAAAAAAAAATCAAAGTTTCAAGTACCGCTATCTCGAAGTTTTAGCCAATCTCGCAAAACTTGGGACAATTGGGTAGAAGAAATTATAAGAACCTTTGCGCATTTTACAAGTGTATGTAACGTTAAAAGGACTAGTAGTTACAAAAGAATTTAGATTGTTTGACCTATTTTCCAAATGTGCCTTCAATCAAGATCTCGTTAGAATTAAAATTACGCTCAAAATCGTAGAATATTTTTTCTTTAAAATCTAATTTATTCGGAAAGCACACCTTTTGCTAAGATATAAAATTATACGAAATTATTTATAGAATTCAATATATACTTAAAATGGTTTTAAAATAAAATGTTTCAAAAACTATAGGCGATAAGCCGAAAATTTTGAGAAGCAGAGTTACACTATTTGAGTTACTTACCATTTAG